TGTTCCAATGGTCAGAACAATATCCAAGTGTCAATCATCCGTGAAAGCTGATTGAATTAAATCCAAACAGACGCATTCTAGAGTATTCCATTAACTGGGCCATCCGATTTTGGGTTGCTCTTTAGTTTAGGCTGAATTTCACTAAATGGGCTCATATGTTCAGCATCCAAAACCTCACAAGGCTTACCACAATTCACATAGAGTTATAGAGAATTGATTTAATTGAGTAGGATTGTTTTGAACTTGAGAGATGTACATTAATTGGCTTAGAAGAATTCGATTGGGTATACATAATCAATTGTTATCGAAATTTGGTGATTGAGATTAAGGAGATATCTATGATGAACTCGTGAATTCTAACACTTGCCATCATATAAAAACACTAAATTGTCCATTTATGCACTTTTTAATCATTTTCAGATGTATGTAGTTTTTGGGGAAAATCAAAATCAAGTTTAATTGTTTCAATCGAATTGAAGCAATGTATATTTAAAACAACTGTTAAATAGTAGTTTTCGTGAAATCGATAATTCGGACTCTTAGTAACATTGAGCACCCCAAAAATTATTCTTCTCAAAGTCTTCTGCAATAACAATATGTTAGCTTCCCTAACTATAAAGAGTAATCAAATTCATGGCAACAACTTTTTTTGGCCTTCAATTTTATTGGGAAAAAGGTATGGCCTTGTCTACCAACTCAATGAAGTTTCTTATGAGGTTGGACACTTAGTAGATTTCAATAAAGCTCTTCTTGTCCGAGGCCTTTAGTTCAGACTTGTAAAAGGACCCAATAAAACAAGAAATGATGCTTCAGACTAGAGATCTTGAAATGTACTTGCCCCCAACCACCTCCATATTTAAACTCACTCACTACCTGTACATGCCTCACTAAATTAGAACCAAATCATTATCCTTGCTGCCAATGACCCATCGCCCAGAACTAGCCCTCCTTCGACCTTTGATAGAAGTGGGGAGGCCTACTACAAAAGAGACATGTGATGAGTGTAATTAACTCATTAAACAAGTTCCTTTAAATCGTAGTTCCTTTAAAACGAAATTTTAAAAAGATTTTTGCCCAGCCCACATCCAATTCGTCTTGCAACCTTGGGAAAACATAAATACACATTTTTGGAGACCTAAATGGGGTTGTTGACGGCTAGAAGAAGGCAAGAAGATTGAAGACAAAACCGGGAAGAAATCAATTGAAAACAAAGGAGATTGACAATTGGAAGAAGAAATTAAGCGGCAACGAATATTTTTTCTAAATCCTTTCTTCTTATCCATGTTATTCACATTTAATTCAATTATGTCAATTTTCTTCATTATGAACTAAACATTTAGATCTAGAGTTTGATGTAATCAACTTGAAACATGTTTGATTCCTACATATTTAGCTCTTTTGGATTTTTCTATTAATTTATTTATGTTGTTTGTGTTTAATGCGTTCAATTAATTGACAACTAGTTGACTGATTTGTTGCATAAATTTCGGCACTCGAGATATGGAAATTTAGGCGTGATCAAGGAACAACATAACCTAGATTTCATAGATTTCGAGAGAAAGTACGGATCTTTGAGGCTTGTTTAAATCAAGAACCACGTATGTTGAAACCTCTATACATTTAATTCAGAATAGAGTTATTGGAATTAAATTATAGAAATTAGTTTTATTCGGCACTCGAGAGAAGGAATATAATTATATTTAGGTTCTCGCCTATAATTTAAGAAAAAATCTGATTGAGTTAAAATTATATAGGAAGAAAAGCATTGTTGATAGTATGATGAAATCATTCCCTAGACTTTTATAATCTGATAACGTCTTTAAGATTTGCTTCTGTGACTTGCCAATTTTAGTCCATATACATTAGCTCACAATCACAACATTGATTCAACTTTGATCATCTGAATAAAGTAGAAACTAAACAATTATAATACTCGGTAGAATTCAAGTATCAATCCCTGTGGGTTCGACATTTCACTATATTACAAAACTTGATACCGTGCACTTACGGTATAAATCACGTTATAGAAAACGCGTGACAAGTTTTTGGCACACATCTCCCATCGCATTGTGTACTATATCACCTCACAATTTGGTTTCAGAGCATAGAGATTGTTGCATTGTAAACCTCGCTCAAGTCACCCTGAAAATGGCATTAAGGTACCTAGGTTTCAATAATGGACTTCACTTTAGCAGCAAGGCAACACCTCAAAAATTTTGCCACTAAATCAATGTACACCTTACATAAATATTCTATACATGGACTTGGAAGACTATTCGTATGCATTAGCGTTAAAATTAGTGAACGCCTTTTTACCTCAATAGCATTTAGCCTCTCCAAGACATTTTCCATGTCAAGAAGGCCAATGCATAAATCATCAAAATCTCATGCCTCTTATGAATAATCAGACTTTGGACTTGAGAGACTATTGCTATGCTTTTGTCCACATGTAAGGCCATGTGCTTGTCAGCTAAGTAAAATGCCATGCAAGCACCTTCACTTTGTTAGCATTGCCTTAAGTCTCTGAGGTGAATGTATTGTGTCACCTTTCCTATTTGTTTTCGTGAAGCAATGAAACCAAATCCCATCACCTTGCTTACTCTCTCTTTTCAGAGGTTAGGAACACAACCCAACACCATGTTCTTGGTCAAAGGTGACACAACTCTTAGCAAGCAAGTCACATTGTCACTCCCGTGATGATTGAGAGGGGACTCACTCCTGGGCCACACCAAGTGGGCTTTTGTGATCCGTAATTTGATTGATATGACATCGACTTGTAGTCAAATTCTTTCTAATCCACCTAAAATAGGGTGTGAGAGGTCACACACCTTTGATAGCTACCATGTGACATCTTTTGAGCTTGACATGTGAGCTATGGGAATGAAACCATGTTTCAAGCATTCAAGGGGCCTCATTTGAATATTTTTTACCTATAAATATGTATCATTTGAAGGTAATGAAAAATTGGCAATCTCACTCTTAAATATATACTCAACTCCTATATTCCCATTTTCTTTTATTTCTCCCACACTGACATTATTGTTCATATTTTGACTTGAGTATAGGAGTGCATACGATCATGGTCTCTCACTTTTTCCTATAAGCAATTGTTTGTGTTTCTAACGCGTGTGTCGAAGCGTGAATGTAACAAACACTTGGAGAGAAGAGAAGTTGTGATCTTTTTGAGACTTGGAGTCTCACCAAATTCGGGGGTCAACACGTACTATAAATATGCTTAATATAAATACTTATTTGAATTAAAATTCTTTTCACGAACTATTATAAATTAAATATTCTTCAAATTTTCAATCTTTCCAAGATTTTGTTTCCATAATTGTAGTTTTAATTTTCTGTGGCTTTTAATACCGTGTAACTAGGGTCATCGCATGTCCCTCGTGTTCATTATTGTAAAAATAATAATAAACTTAAAACACGCTTTTGGCTTTATTATTGGCAAGAAAAATATATTTTAATGTTTTATAGAATTTTTTTTTTTTTTATTTCAGAAATACCAAGAGAAGGGATCCAGATCCTCGTGCACCACGAGTGCGGACAAGCTCTGGTAAAATGACAGCCATTCCATATATCCTCAAAAATGACAATCTCTTTTAGTAAATTTTGAACACAAAATTATTATGATTCTATTATACTTTGCTTCTAGAATTCGATTATATTCCACAAATATGTTCCAATATTTATGTTACGGATAAAGTTATCAAGTTCTAAGTACACGTGTCCTAATTCATGAGTAACAACAATAATTAAAATTAAAAGAAAATAAATAATATTCCACAATCAATCAAGCAATTAAAAGTGTACACCAAATTGTTACAGCAAATAAGAACACAGCCCTACCATCCATTATTTGATAGGGCCAAACCCCATAAACCGCATAAATGGTTTCTGAATTTTTTTTTTCTTTTTTAATTTCTTTCTAAATACTAAAAAAGAGATAATTTCTTCTATCCTAATTAAGAAATTCAAACCACTCCAAAAGATAGAAAGAATGAAAAAAAAAAAAAAAATGCAACATAGAGTAAAAAGTTATTTATCATAGAAGAGAAATATGCTGGAGTACACTCGAAATGAATTGTTTTACGTTTAATCTTTCTTTTAAATAATCTTAAGTGGAGCAAATAAGAGCAAGAAGTTCTTTCTTACGAAAGTAGAACTGCAACACTATATCATCTATTTGATCTAATTGAGTTGGCACGGCAACTATTAATAAATCCCCTTAATTATTCAAGTACAGAAGTCGTTAATCAAAGTGTATTCTCATTTAAAATTATCTCAATAGGCACAAATAGGAGCAATAGATAAAATGATCGTCGTGAATCTTTTTCAAATTTAATAAATGTTGGTTGACCAATATTTTATTATAATTTTGTAGTGATTAAGAGTATCATTTTCTATTTGATTTCTTTGGATTTCATATTCAAAGTTGTGATCAAATGCGTTCATTAAATAGAATCGAATTCTCAAAGGTCCATATTCAATAATCTTATTTTTCTTTTTTCCGAACTCATTTTTAATTATACTTTCTTTCAATAAAATAATTTTATACGTAAATTCAAAAAAAAAAAAAAAAAATTCTTACTTTTTTAATCACATTTTCTAAAAAAATAGGTTTTCAAATCTATTCACAAAAAATGGGAGTTAAACTGGAGCTAAATATTCAAGTAGAAAATAGCTTTTTTCCCATATATACTCTGTCCCTGTTTGGTACACATTAAAATTTTCATTCTCGTCTTCTACTCATTTTCAGCCACTCATTTTTCAATAAAATAATATTTTCAATCACATTAATAACTTTTCCTTCTTTTTCAACCACAAATTCTTATCAATCTATTATTTTAGGATACATTCTTTCAAAATAATGTGGATCAAACACACCATCTGTATAATTGTTGTATAGTCCATGTTGAGGAATAATATTACAAAGAATCGACATTTGATGGCGGAGATCCCAAACCGAAACCGCAAATTTTACAGATAAAAGGATGTCTTCGTTGACTGGTTTCCCCATTCAAAATTTGTTGGCTGTGGCCGCCTCCACTTCTATAAAGAGGCTCTCCGTTTCTCCTCCCCGACTCAAATATCTTTTCGTTAATCGATCCACCTCCGCCGGAAGAAAATCTTTTGCTCTCCGTGTGTCGGGATCCTATTCATCTGTTGCTTCCCCCTCCACCAACATGGGTGACGCCGCCGCTGATTCCGGTATGGATGCTGTCCAAAGGCGCCTTATGTTCGAAGACGAGTGAGTGACAGATTCTCTATGGACCCTTTTTCATTTAAATATCGATACGTGCAAATAGACACTCCACTTGACATAATACATAGACATGTATTTTATGTGCTGAATAATGGGGGATCTATGGAGTGGACTGTAATGATTTGTGTGTCTTATGGATTATGATCATCTGGGTTTTCGAATTTTGAACTTAAAATTTAGGATCTTTGCTTTTCCTCTGGTTTTTTGTTCTTTGAAAGGATGTTTTTGTTCTTGAAAAGTTTCGGTGGAAAAATACAAGTAATTATTTATCCAGATGTTGCAATCTTCTTTTGTTGAAATCACTTTATCTCGTTTTTTAATAAATTTTTGGAAAATATAGATATATAAACAAGTATATTTCCCCCCTTTTATGTTTGTTTTTGTACTGGTACATCAGAGTGATGATTTACTAGATCTTCAGCTGTTGTGTTAATTAATGACAGTTCTTTCACTTTTAATAACTTTGCAGGTGTATTTTGGTTGATGAGAATGATAATGTAGTAGGTCATGACACGAAATACAATTGTAAGTTGGATTCCTCATCTTGAAGATTTGCTCATTGAAACTATTTGGATCAGTTTCTGATATGAGATTCATCAGTATTTACTCTAATAAAAGCAATCAATTTTTTACCGTGCCGATAATGATCCTATTTTGATCTGTTATTTCCTCCTTTCACTAAGTGCTGGATTTGGAATCCCCAGAAACCTGGAACTATATAATTTATTTTAGTAAGATACACGAGCATACACGAGTTGCTATCGCTTTACCCATATCTTATTCAATTCTTTAAAGTTACGGATCATGATTAACTTTTGGTTCCTCGATTTGGTGAGTGGCAAGGGAAAAAAAGCAGTCAACATCGAATTCCCAAGTCCTCTCGTAATAAGTTGAAAAGAGAACCTACAGCTTTCTCAATATAATCTAGATCAAATTTCTTTGGTTGCTGACTTGTCGACATCTCTAACATGCAGGTCACCTGATGGAGAAGATTGAGTCTGAAAATTTGTTGCACAGAGCTTTCAGTGTGTTTCTCTTTAACACAAAATATGAGCTGTTGCTTCAGGTATGTATCAATCTGGGATGTTGGATGCATTGTTCTACGAGGAACTTAATTGGATTTTAATAGCTTATATTTCCCTTCAAGAATTATGAGCATAATTGATGTTCCATTAATGTGTATCATTACGACCTCAATGATATGTTTATAAATTTTTAGGAAAATGTGGTGGATTTATTATACAAAAAGTATTCTCATACATAGCCCCTGTTTTGTGGCGATTAAAATCATATTTTTAGTAGATTTTGAAAGAACTAGATGAAATGTGTGGTTGAAAAGTTGCGGGTCCCATAAAATATGTGATTGAAATGAATTGTTGATTTTGACTTAGATGTACCAAACGGGGGCATATTGGGAAAATATTATGAACTAGGAATTCTTCTTAAAAACCTCCTTACATTCAAATTTAATATCCCAGACTGACTGGCAACAAAATTTAGAGTGGGGTTAATTTCACAAATAGTCACTGAACTTACGCAAAAATAACAAACGGTCATTGAAGCAAAACTTGCAGAAGCGGTCACTGAAGCGTCATGCACTTTCACAAACGGTCACTGTCCAAAGGTGGCACCTCAAAACTGTCCAAAATTCGGGTTAGCTCACTTTGGCCATTTATGTTTGAATTAAAGGCAAAAAAAGGCAAAACGGTCCTCCAGTGACCATTTGTGAAAGTGCATGAAATTTCAATGACCGTTTCTACAAGTTTTGAACTTCAGTGACCGTTTTGTTATTTTTGCGTAAGTTCAGTGACTGTTTATGAAATTAACCCATTTAGAGTGCGAGGAAAACAAAATATTTCTTTTACAACTTAGATGTATTATTATTTTGAAAATGCGGTACATTGTGTGTAAATGCAACTTATCACTTATGCAAGAGCTGCATCGACTTCTTTAGTTCTCTCACTACTCACTTTTCTAAAACCTTGTCCAGTCTCCTGCTCTTTCTGCAACTTTCCTCAATATTACTACCTTAACTGGAGTCTGAAAAACTTTCTTTTTTTCTATCCTTTTTCTACTTTGTGGATAAACAATTCGTTAGCCTCCAGTTCGAGATGCTTATCATGAACCTCCAGTTCTGTGTTACACATTTCTCCAAGCAGGACTAGACCATTTTCTTTCTCCATTTTTTTTATGTCATTGGCCCGAATGGTGTGTAAGAATGGGAAATTGGGCATGTCAGAAGGTCGAAGGAAAAATTTTTGTAACCTCTTCTAAAATGCAACGGAGACCAAATTTCAATTCTTCCACCTAAATCAAGTTGAATTTGAAGATTATATGGCAGTTAATGTTATGCCATGCTTCCTAGTTCAGATGTTAGACTTAAAAGTACGAAAGGAGTTGATTAACACTCAACTTTCTAGGAAGTGATGAACTCTTGACTTTCACCTGTGTGTTAGAATAACTGTTTGGAAATCTGCTTGGATTGGTTGCTGGAGAAATGCAAATTTATTGATATTTGCTTATGGGCAACCAAATTAAAACAATAGTTATTGCCCACAATCTTCAATCATGAAAATTAAAATATTAGATTATTTTGGTGGCTCATTGATGGGATCGATGAGGCCCACTGGAAGTGTGGAATGCTACTTCACAGCTATATAGATTTTATTTTTTGAAGGTACAGCTATATACATTTGGCAAGGTTCAAATGCAGCTTATAAGGTTTTGAGCATAGTGCTTTGGAAGCTATCTGATCTGTATGTATGTTTGCTTATTGTATAAAATTGAGCAAAAGTGAGTGATTTTGGCATGGAAACAGATTACAAACTTGGTGATTACTTCAGAATCTTCTTCCAATTGTCCCGTAGATTTATGCATTTGATTATTGACTGTTATTATAACCTCTATAAACATATGAAATGATAAATGCTTGTACGTTATGACAGAAGTAGAAACACATCTATGAGTGGGTATGGAGTGTTTTTCCCAGGCTGTTATCATCGCCATTCCTGTTCTCCTCTTTTGATTCCTCTCAATTTGCTAAAGCCTCTTTATCCTGGACAGGCTTTCCAAATATAAATGTCTTATTCGGTGAAATACGCTGAGGGAACATAATATTTGAATGGAAACTTTAGAATGATGTATGGAATTTCCATCTAAGAATCTGCAACATTCTATACAGAAGGCTTCCTAACACACTTTGCTTGTGTTTGTTATTGTGCAGCAAAGGTCTGCAACAAAGGTCACCTTTCCTTTGGTCTGGACAAACACCTGCTGCAGCCATCCCCTTTACCGAGAGTCTGAGCTTATCCCTGAGAATGCACTTGGTATCTATTCTGTTCTGTTTCAATTGCAGAAATAATTCTACAGTTGCCTATCCTTTTATTCACCATGTTTGTATTTCAAATATAAGGTGTGAGGAATGCTGCCCAAAGGAAGCTCTTGGATGAACTCGGTATTCCTGCTGAAGACGTCCCCGTTGATCAGTTCACACCATTGGGCCGCATCCTGTACAAAGCGCCGTCTGATGGAAAGTGGGGAGAGCATGAACGTAATAATACATACCTTGATTTCTATTGAAGCTCTTCGTTGATAGTAACATTTTGTAGTCACAGACTTGAATCATGATCTTCATAACGTACAACAAAACAACCACTTAGTGCATATTTTGGTAACATAGATTAGATAGTAATGAATATTATGTATTAAGGAAGAAAAAGAAACTAAAATCTTTATTATACTGTTCACATACTTGTTATTTTCTCGTTGTCTCTGCATGTGTTCATTTAGTTGGTACTGTATTGTCCTCATCTTTTTTCCTTTTTTATCTTTTTTTTTCTGTAGTTGATTACCTGCTCTTCATTGTTCGGGATGTTAATGTCAACCCAAATCCCGATGAGGTAGCTGATATCAAGTACGTGAATAAAGAAGAGTTGAAAGAGCTGTTGAGAAAAGCAGATGCTGGTGAGGGTGGTATTAAGCTGTCCCCATGGTTCCGTCTAGTTGTTGACAACTTCCTGTTCAAGTGGTGGGATCATGTGGAGAAGGGGACTCTGAGCGAAGCAGCCGATATGAAAACCATTCACAAGTTGACTTAGAAATGCAGTCGGCTAAGGATATGGACCATATGGTATTTCATGGCAGATTGGAAGTTTCTTGAAATAAATAACTACAAATAAGTTGATTATGCTTGTTATACGAGGAATGTTCTTTTGAATTTGCTTAGCTTTTGACAGACTACAGTATTTGATGTGGCTTTTAAATTATAAAATCCAGTAAAGAAACTCTTTGTTATGCTTTTATTTCTACTATGGTTTAATTTACTACCAAGTTTTTGTTCAATTTCCACTATTATCTCGTGACGCGGATCGGTAATTATAGCTTATGAATGAGGAAAAAGCACGGGATAAGACATGACATGGACATGTCAACACATTTATTATAGAAGTAAGACATATGTTGGATGTTAATTTAAATATTTTAAATTGTAGATTTGTGAGATAGATGAATGATAAAGTAAAAAATAATGTTTATAGATGAAAGTGAAACGGTAATTGAATTTTTGAAGAATAATTTTTTTTAAAAAAATTGTATGTAAAGTGTTACATAATTTAATACAAAAAGTGTAATTTGTTACTCTTAATTATGGATATTTTTGTCTATTTAACTATTTTTAGTGACAAATTTATAATTTATAGCAAAAGTAATTTTAGTTACTGTAAGAGCATCTCCAATAGACTCTCTAATTTTAAAGAGCATCTTCTATCATTTGGAGAGCAATTATAAATTTAAAGAGTTAAAATTTTGAAGTATTTTAACAAACTCTTTATATTAAACACTTAATTTTACTGATCCCAAAAAAGGTTAATTATTTTTCTTTATATTTTATTTTAACTAGTTTTTCTTTAAATTATTTTATTGTTTTCTTATATTGAAAATTGAAATAATTTGAATGCATTTAATTATAGATGTTGAGTTTGACTCTTCAAATTTGGAGGGTCAAACCCGTTTTCTAAATTAACATGTTAATTTAAAGAGTCTCTTGCAACACGATTTTAAATATTGACTCTTTAAAATAGAGATCATTTCCTGTTTAAAGAGTTTTTTGAAAATGTTCTAGTTCTTCTGATTTAGAGAATTAGTTTAGGTGACAATGCATAATATAAAATGATAAATTCATTTAAATGTAAAGTCATATAACTCATTTAATTAAACCTATAAAATATAGTTACATAAACGGGTGCGTATGTTAACGATCAATCAATTTAAATGTGATTTGAATAATTTAAATTGTAGAGTATTGAAATTTGTAACATATTAAATGTAATAATTGTTAATTAAGAATAAAGAGCGAGCTTAGCTATTCAAATTTGAAGAGTCAAATTCACTCTTTATTAAGTTAAAATAGAGTGTTTTGAAATTTATTTTTAAACACCGACTTTAAAAAATAGAGAGTATTTTGTGTTAAAGAGTTTATTTGAGAAGCTATTAATGGCTGCAAGTTTAATGCCGACGGCCACTTTGAAAGGCTGTTTAGGGAACTTGAAATTTTTTTAAAAATTTTTTGTCTCGACTCAATGGAATTTAATTTTTTTTTTTTTAAAGACAAATCAATTAATAAATAAAACTAGAAATAAAAAATAAGTAAAATATATAAAGAATCTGGCGCCAGCTCACAGCAGGCATTAGTATCCCCAATTCAATTCCACATCCAACTCTCTCAATTGATATCCAAACAGAGTAAAATCACAAAAAACAGAGAGAAAATCGGAAATCGGAAAAGATGACATCAAGATGCGCAATTCTCTGCGAAATCATACTCGCAATTTTCCTCCCTCCTCTCGGGGTTTGTCTCCGACATGGCTGCTGCACTGTAAGCTCCAATTACAGCTACCTACTTAAGTGCATACAATTTGATTACTCCTTTTAGTGATTCTGCTGCTAACTGTGTGTATTTTGTTTTTATAGGTGGAGTTTTTCATATGCTTGGTGTTGACTATTCTAGGCTACATTCCTGGGATCATTTATGCTCTCTACGCAATCGTCTTCATTGATCGCGATCGGTTCCGTGACGATTACTATCAACTTGCTTAGTTCTAAATTGATTACTGTTTTCGATTTCCTCATACTTCACCATTGTTATTTGTGGCGGATGTGTAATTTTTAATGTGTGATTGAATTTTTATGGTGTCATTTAATTTCAAAACTGAGGTTTATACTTCGTGTTATCTTTAGCCGTTCTAGTTGACTCTGCAATTATGATTGTTTTTAGATTTGGATTTCGTGATAATGATCAGTTCGAGTTTTGCCACTTTTATTAAAGAAATTTCTGATGATATCTGTTCTGGAGAATGAACATTGTATCATTGATCTTGAGCCCTAGAGTTATCTCTTCCTTGTTTATAGTTCTAACTCAGCAATTGAATCTTACTTCAATACACTATCTGAAGCAATTATTCTGTTTCAAAGAAAAGATGTAGACTATTATTAGGTAAAAAGGCCATTTCTCTTCTTGGTTAACTGATCAAAGGAAGAGAATATGATACCCAATTAATTTAGACCTAGTGCATGTAACGAATTGTAAGCAATGTAATGCAGGGGAAACTAGGTGCATACAAAAATGTGAGTACGTGAATAGCTATGTTGATCACATCTTTTGTTACTTTCTTTTGTCTCGATTGTTTTGATTATGAAATTTTATGTTTAATTGGAGCTGAATGTTAGTCTTGTCTCTTTTGGTTTAGAGCAAACTAAATGAAGAGTGTATAGGTCTTTTTAGTTATTCTGGCAGCTCTAGCATATACAGTTGTGGAGAAAAAAGTGACACAATGAAGGATTGGGCCTGAATTGTAAATGGGCTGAAATGTGGCTATTGGGCTGGACACTTTGGATATATTAATTAAATGGTGGCCTCTTCATTTTGGTTGGCAGAAAAACGTGTTTTTCTATTGCATTTTTCAGCTGATACGATTCCCTTTAAAAGCTAAGGCAGGGGCTCATTTGGAATGTGAATTCAACTCTCACTCTCTCAGACCTCTCCACGAAACTCTCTGTTCTCTTCACAGTTCTTTGATTTTGCATCTTTGAAGCTTGAAATCTCTTGTAATCTTTAATTGTATAGTGGCTGTACATTCTTGAGTGAATTGTAGTGAGGCTATTGTGTATCCTTGTGTGGATTCCATTCGGATTCGAGAGGGCTTCAATGTTCTGTGATGATTCTTGTGTGAATCTTGCTAAGTGCTTGGTTGTATTGATGAACGGTTCTTGATCCTTGGTTAATGAAGTGATTTCTTCCGGTTGGCGGAAACTCAAAAGGGGATTAGAATTTTTAATCCGAACCTCTTGCCTTAGGGCGAAAATCTCTCGTGTTCATTTTCTATTTTCAGTTTCTTGCACTTTATTTTTGTTGATTGTATGATTTGTTTTGGCTAATTTGGAGAATTGAATCTCTACAACAGTGCTTACAAATAGCTCTCTGAAGACCGGCCACTCTAAGTTATGTACCTTATTTCAGTGTGGAGGCTTTTTAATCTCATAACTCTTATTCCCCTTTCATCAAGTCTCTCTTTATTGGTGTATAATTGTTGTAAGTTGGTTGATAGGAATAAGTTCTTGTTCATATGGAAGTGTTAACTTTTATTACTAATCTTGTACACATTATCATTAAGGTGAGGTGAAAACATGCTCCTATGCGCCTGTAATTGCCTGTATGTAGTACAGAGAGGGAGTAATCGGTTTTGTCGTTTAAAATTGGAATCCTTAATTCTTAAATGGTCAATTATAAACTGTATATGTTGTGCAGGGATCCTTGGCTCTATTTAACCAATATTATATTATTTAATGGATCTATATTTATGGAGAGTGATTGCCCATATAATTACATCAAAGTGTCTGAAATNGGTAAAAATAAAGTAGGGAAAGTGAATTTTTCCCTATTTTTTATAGAGGAAATTAGGCCCATTATTCTAACAAAATAAAAAATAATATTTAGGGAAAAATTCATATTTCAGACATTAAATTTAGGCCAATTCAATTTTAAGAGAACAAGTTTACATTTTCAAAACTCGGGTGGTAATTAAATTCTATTAATTGAATAAAAAATTATATATAAAATAATTTCAATTTCTCTTCGATCCGGGCAACCGTCCTCACTATCCAGCCATTGTTATCCTTTCTTATTGTCACCGGCATCCACTCGTTGACATCCACTCTCACAGACACCGTGACATCTAAATAATATTGCCGAAGGAAAGATAAAATCTACATATATTTTCAACGACAAAAAATCTTCTTCAGATGTAAACTTATCACCTCTCAGCGGTGACTAAACATCGTCGGCTCAGATAATAGAGAGAGGAAGAAAGAAATGTAGTAGTCGTTGAAGAACATCGACTAAGCGCCGACAACTGATCATCAATCTACATAGATCGTCGGCGACTGAAAATCTTTTTCAGATGCAAATTAATCACCGCTGAGGGATGACTAAACACCACCAGCTTAGATAGTAGAGATATGAATAAATATAGCGGTTGTTGAAGAATATTGATTGAGCGTCAGCGACTGATCATCTTCTTCAGCGGTGACTGAGCAGCACTGGTAAGATTTAAATCTATTTTTAGAATTGGAAATTGAAAAACGGCCCTTGGTGTAATTTATAGAGTATTTGCCGAAGTAAAGAACTTCAATTCTCACTGGTGAAAGTTGGTTAATTGAATATGTGACCAGTTCAAAGAACTGAAGTCAAAGAAATCAATGGCAGGTGACCAACTTTCGTGAATTTGTGACATCTGACTTGTGCACTTTGACATGTCACCTGTGACATGTAACTGTAACATGTGATATTGATAAAATGGCTTGTGACCAATTTTCTTTGATTTGTGACCTGTGGACATCGATCTTACTTGTGCAATATGACATGTAACCTGTGAACTATTACCCTTGATCTATAACATATAAACAATGATCCGTGAACTTGAATCTGTGACCTATTATCAGTGCACAAAGATATGTGACATATGATCACTGACTGGTTAATTTTTATATGTGACCTATTGATTTAGACCTATGACCTGCAAACATGATCAGTGATAAGTTATGT